TATATATATATATATATATATATATATTANATATCCTAAATTTATTCACAATATATTTTCAATGCACATAATTAAAGAGTCCGTGATAAAATTATTATTCATTTTGCTATTATGTTTAGTTGGGATTATCTTTCTTCGTGATGAGTTAATTCTTTAAAATAGTAAAAAGTATTTTTGGGTTAGGATTATTTGTCAGTTGTATCGAACAACATTTCACTTAATTATGACCTCNACATATAAGTATATATAACATATATATTTAATATGTCCAAACAGGTTTTACTATTTTTTATATTGTAAAATTGTTTATGAAATTATCTAATCAAATAATTTTTTATTTCAAAAAATATCAAAATCACTTTCTTTAAACCTTTCTCAAAAATTATTTTCAGATACTAATTTTTGAAACGCAAACCATAGAAACCCTAGTTTTTGTTGCTCATAAGTGACTGAGATACTTTTATTCANTGACTAATATTCGCAAAAAATAAACAAATTGATATTTATTATTCGCGGTTGAGATCGGTTTAAATTTTACTTTAAAATTAATTTCACGGCTAATATTAATACCTTAAATTTAATAGAAAAATTATATTTCTAAGGGTGTGTTTTGATAACTTTTTAAACATACTTTAGAAATTATTTCTTATAAATATTTTTATAAAAAAATAATGTTTGAAGCCGTCCACCACCACCGCCATCACCACCACCCCCACCGTTGCCGCCGCCACCACCACCATCGTTGTTGCCCTCGTCGCCACCATGGTTATTGCCATCCACCACAATTTTCACCATCTTCTACCACCTCTATTGTCACCCACCACCTCTCACCCTCTCTCACCCCTACTATAAAATCGATGCNGGTTAAGAAGTCGAGGTCCCAAGGTCATGCCCTCTATGTGGAGAGGGCTTATATTATCCAGGTTTGGTGAGGTGGCGAGGTGAGGGAGAGTGACACTACTTCTTTGGTAAGTACAATTAAGGTAGAATTTGATTTTCATAAGTGTCTATCTCGATATTCTCTTTCCCCACGTGTTCTTATCTTCCTGGACTCTTTGGATTTTGGATTGAGTCTGTTAGATGAAGTGGGCTTGAGACTGTCTTTTAACTGATTTCAGCTTGACNGCTTAAATTCTTTTAATTCTTCTTTATATTTGTGATTTAATTTTGAATATGAATACAAATATATTTATTATTTATCATTTATTATTACTCTGTGTCTTCAGACACAGACAATAACTAATATTAAATAAAAGAGAATTATAACCTTTGTTCAATGTATAAATCAGGATAATTCACATGTATTTTACTCGGGTCATGACGGAGACATAGATGTTCACCAACCGTTTCAATTGACCTTACAACCTAATGTTGGTGCGGTGGGCTTCTCACCATAGAAAATTGGGTTTGTCCGCCTATTTGCCTATACACTGTAGTGTGGGGTCCATGGGTATTAATCCAGAATCTCAAAGTTGTTATCCAGGGTGAAATTCCGCGTTAGTTCATTGGTTCGATCACCTAAAAAAAAATAAAAATATTTTGATCTGTTTCAAAAATAAAATAGAAAAAAATAAAAAATTTAAAAATTATTTTTTTAAAATATTGGTCGAAATATACCCAAGTATCTTTAAAAAGTTTAAAACATTATAAAATAATGGTATAAATGCGTTGAAACATAAAAAACGACTTGAAGTATTATAATTTTAATTTTATAACTGATTTGTTTCGATCACTTTAAAAACATAAATCTTTCAACTGTATTCACCTGTTGGAAACAAAATTTGGAAACAAAATTTTACTCTTTAATTGTTATGATGAGCATAAAATTAGCTACCTGGGCCCACCCTAAAATGGTGGGACTATCCATCGCAAGAAATTCATCAATTGATTGAAGCAACCCCAACCTTGAACTATCCTTGGCCACTGTTGTATCACGCCATGGCGGTGGACGACTATAGTGTCGCCACTTATCCGCCTGGACCATGTCACCATTAGTGTGCGGTGTTAACGATGCTTAGTGTAATAAATTATGAGTAATATTATTTAAACTTAAAATTTTGAAATAATTTATTAATATAATGATGTGACTTCAGCACAATTATTAGATTAAATTCTATTTTATTGACTTAATTTACTATGAATTTTTGGATTGACTGTGGATCCTATCAAACATTGAAATTAGATGTTGATCTAATAATTTCACTGATATCATATTATTAAGTCATTAAATTAAGTTAAATTTTTAGGTCTAAACAAACATTACTTTTTAAGATTTTTGAGAATCGCACGGACATTGAGTGGAACCCAACCTTTTCTTTAGATAACCATAGAACACAACTATTACAAATACAATATTTCACTTTTATAATGAATTTTAAATGATTCACAACCCCAAAAAAATATATATAACTCTCAAAGAGTGAGAAAAAAGAGTACATATATATAAAGAGAAATGTTATTTAGATTTAAAAATTTGATCTAATTTGTTGACATAATGATGTGAATTAATAAGAATTATTGGATCAACACTAAATTTTAATGTTTGATGGGACTTATAACCAATTCAAATGTCACAGTATATTAGATCAGCAAATTAGGTTAGATTTTTAGATCTCAATAGCATTGCTCATGTGCAAAACAAAGAGAAAAACATAAGAAACCCTTCCAGCCTTGGGTAGAAAGTGACTCCTAATCACGCGATCAGAATTATAATGGTTTTCATAGTTAAACTTGGTCAAAATCGATTGACTTTGAAACTGAGTGCATCTTGAATACAATGTGGGATTGGAAGATACTTGCGAACAAAACCTTAAAACAAGCAAGGGACTGAAACAAAATTTGAAAGACTAGGGTCAATTAAAACTTCTGGTTGTTGGCCCATGCTGGCCTTAAGCTTCCCTTGTTGCGAACAAGGCAAAAAAAAAGAACTAAGGAAAAATAATGAGCCTCCTCTTTAGCTAAAATTAGTATGGCGTCTCTCCCTCGCTCGCCCCCTTGGTAGAGACTTCTCTGGCTCACGACCATGAACTTGTCATCATCTTCATCCTCAATATTGACAAAACTGCCGAGATATCAATGAACCCTAAAGACATGGGCTTCCAAATGAAAAAATATGTTGTTTCCCAGGGTTGACTGGCAGGTTAGGGGGTGCAGGGGGGTAACTGCGGTACCGTACAGATATATAGGGTTATCTAATCTATGCTAGATAATTGAGTTTTACGATAGTTGTAAACTACTACTGATATTTAAGTTGTAACTCCATTGCTAATAGTAGTGAGAAACAACGGCTCTCGTGGATGCCCGATGTATTATATTATATATTATTATATATAATATAATATGCTATATAAAATTTTATATATATATATATATATATATATTAATATATTATATTCATATATACATATAAGTATATATAACATATATATTTAATATGTCCAAACAGGTTTTACTATTTTTTATATTGTAAAATTGTTTATGAAATTATCTAATCAAATAATTTTTTTATTTCAAAAAATATTAAAATCACTTTCTTTAAACCTTTCTCAAAAATTATTTTCAGATACTAATTTTTGAAACGCAAACCATAGAAACCCTAGGTTTTGTTGCTTATAAGTGACTGAGATACTTTTATTCCTATATGAAGATATACCACGTTGGGTAAACTTTCTTAATGACAAGATTTAAACGAGTTGCAATGAGGATTGAGGCAGGAGATGGATGGTAGTCATTTCAAGATTTAAAACCTATTCTTGTCCGGCTACTCATTCCTTGTTCTGTCTTTATTCCCTTCAGAAACTACGATGAAGCCCCCTCCCCTCCATCTTGATTTACCTTTATTTCATGCAAGTCCCATAAAAGGAAAAGAGACACCATGCACGTTACCCTCTCTCTCTCTCTCTCTCTCTATATATATATATATATATAAATATGCTGAAGGAAAAAGGCTGCATCTGGAATTGAATAAAGCTATAAAGCGCTATCACAAGCAACAGAAAACAAAATAGTGACTAAAAATGTGAACTTGGTTGCTAAAATTCCGAAAACGATAATTTAACAAAATGAAATAAATTCCCTTGCCGAGAGGCAATGAATCGAACCAACAAATGCGGTGGTTTATCCCAAAAAAAAAAAAAAATACAGTCTTATATTAGATTTTATTGTCACCTTGATACTTCAAAAACTTGCACGTGGTTGACTTAAATTTTAATCTGCATATGGGAGCTTTGTTAAAATAAATAAATATTTATTTTGCATCATCTACAATTAACCTTAAGCTTAAAGAAAATCAAGTATAGCTGTGAAGAGGAGAGAAAACGAGCCTTGAAGGTGGGACCCACAAACTATCTTGGGACCCTCCCACGTCGGCCATGTGGGAATGACCCTCTGGGATATTATAACAGAAAATCAAAAGCAGCTGAAAAGTAAGGGACCAAGACTGTATATTATAAGCATTTATTCATTTCTTTTTGTTGAAAGCTGCAACATATAGTAACAGAGTAACAAGTCTTTTGTTGAAATTTGCACAAAAATCTATGGTATTTGCTAGTGAAAACTGAAAACAGTCTATTGAGTTACAAAAGAAAAAGCTAAAAAAATAATAAGAAGAATAAGAATAGCCACAAAGATGATACTCTAATCATACTGGCGATGATTTTCATGCAAGATGGATTTGCTTTGGGTCTTTGTTTCCCCTTCTAGTTGTCAGCTTTTCTTGGGTTCTTTTTTTTTTCTCTCTCTCTCTTCTTCCTTTTGCATTCATCTTCCTTCAGACATAAGTTGCTGTACAGGCGGTCTGGTCGAGCCATATCAGAGAGACATCATGCAGGTCTCCATTAATTTAGAACAGAGAGAAAAAGAATGAACAGTATAGGTGGTCTCTTGACTCTGTGCCTCCTTGTTGAAAAAGAAACTGAGGTAACGCTTCAAGTACCAATGATGATAATCATGATGATGTTTTTCTCTCTATGGGTTTTGTTTATTGTGTTTTATTTGTGCTCCTACCCATGATGATCCGGGTTGTCAGGGTCAGGCCAGAAGGTGGAGTACTTCAGCCATTCTGCTTCTTGTGGATTTGGGAGAGACGACTCCTGCAATACCAGGAAAAAGCATGGGAAGTGCTGAGTTAGAACAAGTCTAGGGTTCCAAAAAGGTAAATATCAAATAACATACCTAAAAATAAATAAGTTATTTGTAGTGTAAGGATAATAAAAAAAAATTACGTGTCATGCTGTTATTAGACAAAAAGACGAAATTTTGCATGAAAAATAAAAAGTCAATTAAGAATAGTAGCACCACATGATAACGATGATGGATATCACTATTACACCCAACATTTTTTCACTAAGAAGCCACCACAGAAGTAACTTGCCTCTTTTGTGCTTCTTCTCTGTGTACACAGGCTCATGTTGTTCTTTTCATGCATGAAACTTAATTTTTCTTAGGAGGCCACACATGAGAAAAGTTTTGGGTCACCATCTTCCTTTTTCTAGTTTCTGGACACCTTTTTGTAATGAACTTGATGTTCCTTTTAAAAGAGTGATGGGTTTTTGTTATTATTTTTTGGCTTTTTAATCGAAGGAACAAATGGAAAAAATGTATCCACTTTGCAGGAAGACGAAATAAAGGAAAAAATAAAATAAAATACACATTTTCTCTCTATGTACTTCAACCTATTTGTTTAGTGGTAAGAATATATATTTAGCAAAAAATAAATGCTGCTTGTATATATGCACTTCGGCACGGCCGAAAAACTGAAACAAAAAAAGAAGAACAGTTCATACTCATATATACACTATAGGATTCGAAGATTGTACTTGATGCTCTACACCATGTTGTTATATTTCACAGTTTTGATATCATGTTTGGCATTCAAAATCACTGAAAACAAGAGTGGAAAGAGAAGGGAAAAGACTTCTATTTCCTTTCATTAATTCCAAAATAGTAGAACTATGAACATGTAGAATTTTCTTTCTATCCTTTTCAATCCTAGAACTTTTCTTCTATGCTATTACTTGATATTTCTCTGAGAGATACAATGATATCTATATTAGATAAGGTCTATAGAAATCCTATATATTTTTGAGCTATATATCTTTGCAGATAATACCTTACATGTATCTCATTGCACGTCTTAACAATTTCCCTAAACTATGTTCATAAAATTAAAGTTCAAAAGTTCATACTCACTTCTTTAATATCAGTTGAAGTGCAGCCCATTATAAGTTCCTCTAATCCAGATGCAGACCTCCCTCCTAGCTTATGATGTTGTTGTTGCTGTTGCTGAAGTTGCTGCCGAAAGATATAAAGTCATTTAGAACAAAACAAAAGCATAATCATCAATATATTCATGAATTGTCTGCAATTGCAAGAATAGCAAAGTGAAAAAAATATAATCACTTGTTGGCAGGTTAAATGACACTATAAGTATTGTCACTGACTCGTACGATCCCTATTATCTTACGGTTTAAGTTTCCTACGATCATTTTCTCATGCAATGACAATGTGATATGTGTAAAATTATTTATTTTATGGTATTACTGTACTTTATTATTGTCATGATCAAGGATTTTAAATGAATTAATCGAAAATCTATGGCTACTAATTATTTCTTGGTATACGGTACCAAAAAAATACTGGGCGGTACCATAGACGTGTCTATTTTCTTAGGATGCAATTAAATTTCATAACTAAGTTGCCTCTCATGGGAAGACTACAATACCTAACTCGGTAATGTACCAAAATTTATAAATAAACAAGGATTACGAGGTCAAGATACGGCTCAAAAAAGTCAATTATGACCAAAAAAAGTAAGATTTATTCTGAATGTTAGAATCAATCTTAAAACATTAGGATTAGTTCTAAAATATTGAAATTGGTCACAACTCCATTTTGTAGAAAACTCACCGAACTAAATTGTAATCACACCCTCATTTCATAGTATTTTTTATTACCACATTTTAGATATCCTCAAGGGAAAGCTTGGTTCTGAGAGTTATGATGATCAGAAACAAGTAGCTTTGCTTGCTTATTTACCTGGAAATTTTCATTTTGGAGCATCATTCTAGAGACATGGAAAGAGTCTTCATCCAGAACAATAGAAGTCTGATGAAGGGGAGGTGGAGAGATAATGGAAGAGATGGAGTGTGAAGGTCTGCTGATGTGAAAAGTTGTAGTTGCAACCTGATGAGGTGAATGTTGATGTTGCTGTAGATGGTGCTCATGGGTCACGTGATGTGGCCTTTGGGTCACGTGAGTGTCAAGCTCTTGGGACTTGACCGCTGCCGGAGTTTCCCTTGCAACTGAAGCCTCCCCAATTCCTGCCTGCAACAAAAATCTATGAACATTTTGCTAGCAGCTGGCTAGTCTATTGTCAAGCCCCTTCTATTCTTCTTTTGTTTTTCCATTGATGTTTTCATAGTTCACTCTTCTGGTTAGTTTATTATTTCCTTGGTTCCCTTTTTTCTTTGGTGGGTGAACAACAAGCTTAATTTAGTTGGGCATTTGTCATCAAGCAAGTTCAGTATAGTTTTCATGCTGTATGTACAAGCAATGTGTAAGAGAAAAAGCAACCCTTGAGCTTTTTTGTTTTCTTCTCTTATCACAAGCATGAGAGTAATTCCACTTTAGGTCATCATCATGTAGCCGTTAGATTAGCGGTGGATCATTAATCCAATAATAATGAATCATAAATTTGTAAATTAAGTACAAATAACGCCAGGATGATATATATTAAGTGTACAGGAGCATGGTTTACCAAAAAAAGAAGAGAAAAATACCAATATGCATGCTTTAAACCAACAAAAAAAATATATATTCACTTCAAACAGCGTACAAACTCCAATCAATGTAAAAAGACCAACTTACTGCACAATACTCTCGTCATTTAAGAATTAGGAGAGTTAGATGTATACATATTTACTATGCTTGTGAAGAGACTATTTTCGCGAGTTAAACCTTTATCATTTACGTCACATTAATGGAGTATATTAAGGGATATATATCCTAGTTTTCGGATTTATAGTAAGGAGGATGAAAATGGTTTACAAAAATGTTGATGAATACAGACATACCTCATCGAAGCTTTTCCTAAATGGATCAAAGCTGAAATGGTCAGCCTTCAGCTGTTGAATCCCCATGGCACTGTAACTTGATATTGCAGCTACAGAAAATTCATCCCTATGGGAGATTAATTCCCTAGAAGAACAACTCCCACTGCCACTGTCTCTTCTGCTATTAGGCTCACTATTTCCGTCCCCAATTCCAATATTACTCCTCTCAGACCAATTACACTGCCTTGGCTGAGTCTGATAGAATATCTTTGAAACAACAAGCTCTCCTTCCTTCTCTTCTTCATGCTGTCCCAAGTGGTACTGGTGCATCACCCAGTTAGTCTTTTCGGGTTTTCGATTCTTTCCAAAGTTTGTGTAGAGGACTAGAATTTTTTTGCAGCCCTTTTGCTTGCCATTCGTCATCACCGGCCTTGTTTTTCCGGTCTTGTGCCACCTTGTTTCTCCCCCTTGCAAGTCGCATTCGGTTTGAATTTTTCTTCTCTTTCTTGTTCCGGTTGTGTATGCCTTAGAAGGTCTGTGGAAGAAATGTCTATTCAATCCATCTCTTGTAACTCCTGAAAGAAAAATATTAAAGTTACCAAAATCAAAGTTAGGTTTAACTTAGGTGTAACCAATTGTGACTTGTGAGACAATGAATGAAGTCCCTGAAAGTCATAACAAACAAGAGGAGAAAACAAAACAAACCCTAGAACCCATGAAGTTTTAGTTCCATTTTGGAACTCGTAGAGCAAAATAGTAAAACCTACCTTATTGAATTGTTGCAGAAGCTGTGTGTGTGTGTGAGAGAGAGAGAGTGTGTGTGTCTGTGTGTGTGCTTTTTCCTTACCTGGAAGCTTTTCAGGATGAGTATAACAAATTCCATCTTCCCCTTGAATAGTAGGGATAAATTCATCAATCAAAGGGTGAGATTTTGATTCTTTTGCTTCTACTTTTGCTTCAAGGTGTTCTATCAATTCCTGGTCTGTTGGATCAAATTTCACTCCTGCTGGTAGACCAACCCAGTCCTGGAAAAACTATACATATTTAGCAAAATCGAAAAGAAAACTAAATAACCAACAAAAAACCAAATACCAAAAAAGCAAAAGAGAATAGATATAGAACCTTTAATTTAATTTTAATTTGGTTCTTGAAAAGGAAGTTATATCAAATAAGTTCAATTCCAGAAAAGCATAATTCTTATCTTGTTTTGATTCTTCTAATTTATCCTGAACTTCTTGTTGAAGATAAGAATACAATGACGAGTAAGATGATTCGTACCGGCTTTCCTTCTAGCTTGTGTCCACAACTGGGGCACCGTTTTGATCCACACAATTGATGCTCTTCAAGCTTTGCATCAATGAGATCAGAGCCGCTGATGGAGCCCAAGTGGCTCTTATTCATCGCTATTTGGATCCAACTTCTCTGCAACAGCTTCTTCGTCTTTCCTATCAACTTATTTACTGATAATCTTCTGTAGTTTTTTTCACCTCTGTATATGATAATCCTCTTCTTATGTTCCAATCAACTTTTCTACAGTTTGTGAACAAAATATTCAGAATGATATTCAGTATTCAAACTACATGAAATGATATTCAGAATTTGTTTGATGTCTTCAAATATGTATGATTAACAGAAATAACTAGAAATTCAACCAATAATTCGCTGATAAAAAAAGCAAAAGAAAAGAAAAATTAGACTTGAAACAAGATATAATTAAGAACAAGCTCTTAAGAGAGCTTGCTAGCTTCAAACTTTTTTAAGAAAAATTCAATCTAATTCAAGAACTTGGAACAAAAATAAGAAATATACCCAAAGGAGGAAATATTCTCCGATAAAAAATTAGTGAGACCAAGAGAGAGAAAGAGAACAGAAGATGAGAGGAAAAAGAAGAAACTGTGGTTGTAGGATGGAGCTATAAAACCTGCTTTAACCATGGAAAACACCAGAATTCCCTCTACTTTAACCGAAGCCAATGGGATAAAGGAAAAGATGACTCATACACTCTATGCCACCTTTAAGTCTTTGCTAATTTATNGATTACAGAGACAGATACCTTCACTTCCAATATCTGCAACAGCTCCTTATCTCTTAACCCTTGTGTCCTCTTAGGTTTCAAGCAGTAAACCTGCCACTTCAGAGCTGCCAGTCTGCTGATACACGGCATAAGCACTCAAATTAACCTCCTCATGTCTCCTCCNGAGAGAGAGAGAGAGAGAGAGAGCAGTTGGTTATATCTAAAGCTCCAGGCCATCCACCCCTTTGTTTGAAGTTTATTTGACTAGTAAAGCAAAAGCTAAGCAGTAATGAACGACCTTCACAGGACACAAAGGGAGGCAAAAAATCAAAAATACTTATTTAATTAAGACATATCTTATGATACAGACTGTATTGTTTGTATTTTCATAGTAAAAAGCTGATATCAATATCAGTAAAGTTGTAAAAAAAAAAAAAAAAAATTTGTGTAGAGACAAATTCATTGTTCTCTTTGTACGTGGCAATGAACTTGGAGTATTAAACACGAAATCACAAAAAATTTGCCCTTCCATGCTTTGATCAAGCAAATAATTAGAACAAGATATATTTCTAAAATAAGTAATCTTATTCTTACTAGGTGTCTTATAAGGTTTTTCATCCTAAATAATGTGTCATAATCTCCATCATTAATTAAATACTAAAAGCTGTACCGTATTATTTAAAATGAAAAACTTAATAAGAAATTTTATTCAACATAAAATAACAGTGTTGTTCTAAAACTAATTGAAATTCTTCCGACCGAAAATCCATAGCTTGATCTTATAGTCTAACTTTTTGACGAAAAATTTCTCCAAGACAAGAGTCACATTCATCGTACCATATAAAAGTAAATCTCAAATAAACTGTAATAATGGTGCAGGTAATAAACCATATTCATAGCATAAGTTGGAGGAGAAATAGTGTGTTTTCGGAAGAACTAATGAAAAAGAAATTAAAAAACTGACTACTTGACTACGGTACCGATAAAAAAAATTTGGTATCATACCTCCAAAATTTACTACTTCAATGGGTATTTTTATAACTTTTGTGGGTTATTTTATAACCAAAAAATTTACCATTTTTGTGGATGATTTACCATTTTTGTAAATATTTTTATCACTGTTGTAGGTATTTTTATTACTGTTGTGGTCTTCCACTTATAGAGACTTAGCTCTATGTTCTCCTCCCTTGTACTTTTTTCTTTTAATTATATATACAGGTAGGGATCCTGCCAAACCTCCCACCCACACTGGGTGGCTTAAAAAAAAAAAATTACTGTTGTGGTAACTATTTTTATTATTTTTTTTTGGTATAAATTTTTTTATCACTTTTTTAAATGTTTGTACCAGGGGTGTGATACCACCACCTACCAGGCCCGACGAGCGGTCCACGGAGTTGCATCCCTACTCACCTTGGCTGCTGGTGAAGATGGAGTCAATTTATTTTACAAGGACTCCAAAAAGAGTAAGAGTTCGAGCGTATAAGATAACAAAAAAAAAAGATATGAAATTCTTTTTTGGGTGAGCATACTAACTAAAGATCTGACCCTGTGTGAGCAAGTTATACTAGCAACTTGCTGTGCCATGTTTGTTCTCGTTACACATATGATATGTTGTAATTATTTTTATCACTTTTTTCGATACCACAACAATGATAATATCACTCTTAAATATAATAAAATTACTCAAAATATAAAAAATATTGTACCATACCGAATTTTATTTTTATTTTGAGTACCGTAAACAAGTCAAAAAATTGATTGGAACTCAGATGGGTTTTTGAGCTCGAGTTAGTGCTGATCATGGCCGATCATGATGCTCTGTCGAGAATGTTGCACAAAAAGGGGGAAGGTGTTGCTTGATATGCAAGGCAAATGGGAAAACTCGATGGGGCCACCACAGTCCATTGTAATTAAGTCTTTTATAAATCACATAGAAAATCACCTAGACTTCAACAAGAAGCACCCATTAGCTCAGAATTTAGGACAGGAAAAATTACTTGTCACTGTTTAGATGTGTTGTGTGCAATTTCTTATACAGGTACATGATCTATACTGCCCTTGGCAATGCAATCTCTACATATATAAATACTGCACTTGAGTAAAATACACCGCATCATGGGGATTTGATTTGAAAATACGCTTTTCATTAAAAAAAAAAAATTATGGTAAATCAACAACTATATATATATTGATGTGGGACGCACTTATCTATAGCGAGTCTGAATTGAATTCACAGTGAAAATTTTTTCATTGAGCACAAATTAAAAAAATGAATTAGAATAGATCTGAATCTAAATCCATTTAGCAATCAATAATAAATGAAAGGTCCATACAATATATGTACAAACAGAAGGCCAAATTTGTTTGATAACATTCTCAGAAAGAATAATATCTAAAGGAGGACATTCTAAAGTGAAACATGAAATGAATCAGATGGCCAAAATCATTCGACTTGTATACATCCTTTGATTAGATTTCTCTTTTTGTCCCACCAAAGGGTCTGAGGGAATCGAATTGTTTGAGACTATCCATGAAGTTGACTACTGACTAATCCAGTGCTGGACCCACCCACATAGCTTAAACACCTTTTTTTAATGGTATTCATCCCTCCTGTTTTCATTTGTGTGTGTGTGTGTGTGAGAGAGAGAGAGAGAGAGAGTTAGAATGTCCAAATAGATGTTGGAATAATTAGCATTTTGTTGCTGCATTTGTCCAAGTTGTGTCCACAAAGGAAGACCTATATGCATCCTATTGTTCCGAAATGACTTTGGAAGGTCACCAAATTGCCTCAGAATTCAATGCAGTGATGCCAAGATGCATAGGGACAAATGTTGCATCAAGTTCTGGAAAAGGAAATTGTTTTATTACACCCTTTTCTTCTGCCATGTTACCTGTACTGTTATTTCAATCTCAGTCATCTGCTAATGAACAGGCATTATGTATAATGGTGTTTCAAGTGTATAGTCGACAACTTAAAAAGGAAAAAAAAACAAGTGGTATAGGAGAAAGTACAGGTAATTTCTATTCTTCTTTTTTCTTCTTACCTCTTTTCCACTTCTATTCTCCTTCAAAGGGAGGATGTAAGGTTGTTTGTTATGATCTAAGTGTCAAAGATCAAGCTAAGAAAACAGTCCCGTGGTAACGCTTTTCTTCAATTCTCTTCTCGATGGGTCATCTATCATGTATTTAAGTAGGACACATTGTGTTCAAGTGGGTTATTCACTTATTAATGGTGAATGATCTACTAAGAAGAAAATTAAAGAGAAAATATATTGGACTAGATTTAAAATCATTTCAAAAAAGATTGTATATATTTGATCAGTACTCTCAAATCTTGCAATGACGAAAGCATAACGTAGGGATTGTTGTTTGATACATATTCCCTTCTTATCAATGGTAAAGCTACTAATACTGTTTTACCAACACCAATGTTCATAGAACCAACCACCTTCTGAACTGTGAATAACTTTTACAACCTTGGTTGTTTATCTACTTTTTTTTGGTAAGACTCTATTATAGGGAGGAAAACGATGAGGTTCAAATCCATGATTTTAAGAGACACTATTATAGGTAAGATGACAACGAGAGTCGAACTCGCAACCTTAACATCTAATAGCAACAAGGCTGGTAGCTATTAAACCAATCGCGAACATTAGTTTCTGAACTGTAACAAAGTCTTTGTTGTGATACGAAAATGATATAATTGCATAGCCATTCATCCATATGTTGCTCTTCACTATTTAGTCCAAAACAATATGATGCTGATGGACAAATTGTGATATATTATAAGTTAGACGAAGACGTGAGCAATGATATTATTTTTTTTTATACATGAAAAAAAGGTCGAGTTTACAACGGTGAGGTGGTAGTTTGGATATGAGGACAGTCATCTTAAGCCAATGATGCTAGCTCCATCTCTACCGATGGAACACCTCAATTAATAGAATCAAACTGAGTAATGACCCTTGTGTATAGAGGGTTTGAACGTTCGAGTTGATGAACTACGCTTATGATGTCATGGGGTACAAAGGCAAAAAAGATAAAAGATATGAAGAGATTTGCTAGCTATTAGGCTTATTCAGAGGCTAATTACAAAGAGGACTGGATAAGGTGGAGGTTAGGACTAGAACGTTTTGTCATGTGAATTGGGTATGACTCTTGAACCCAAATGCTAGGGGAAGTATGAGGGTAGGTCTATCTAATGTTAGCCTTCTCTTCTCCCACACTCCATCCTTTATGGGTTCTGACCTTGGTTCATCTCCTTCCACTCGGCAAATTATACATTATGGGCATATTTATTTCAAGGAATTAGTCGAGTGGGATTAGAGTATCCATTCCAATCCCTTGAGCTTGACGGGCACAGTTTACTATCTTTTTCCATCCTACACCACGTTTTGGTGACCGTTTCACAATGCGTGAATCCTACAAAATATAATGATTGCATTTGAAATTGACTTGAATATCCTTCACATCTATTTAGACCATGAAATAATAAAAAAAAAAGTAATATAGTAATTTACATTTCTTGTGATTCCCCAAATAAAAAGAAAAGATGATATTTAAAATCAATTGACTTTAATACCCTTGTCTTGGTGTGGAACAAAAGCATTGAAAGGGATAATGCTATAATTTACCTTTACAATACCATATGTTATTTTATTACTTTATTAACCCCCAGATGGTATTAATTAAACCCCCCTTACATGGATATATTTTCACTATAGCACCGGACGGGTGTTATTTTTAAATTTTTATACCGGGCCAACAATGACATAACAAAATATAAGTGAACTCCGAGTATTATTTTACTCTTATCCGCAAAACAAACACCCCCTCATCCTGTAGTTTTAACTTTAACGCATCACCAGCAGTACATTATTTTCTTCTGTAGTTTTGGGACTCAACTAAAACCACAAGGAATTCTGTGTAATTCTATGAAGTCATTATACAGATTACACAAAATCTGTGGTTTCTGGTCTATGTGTTACACGATGCAACACATCAGTGACACTACAGACAATAATACAATCTTGACACGACAAGAATAATTAACAAAGGCTAGAACCACTATCTATATAAATGACCCTCACCATCTACTAAGAGGACAAACAAACTTCTCGGTTTTGCANTACAGACAATAATACAATCTTGACACGACAAGAATAATTAACAAAGGCTAGAACCACCATCTATATAAATGACCCTCACCATCTACTAAGAGGACAAACAAACTTCTCGGTTTTGCATATGACAAAAAGGAAATTTCCCACTTGGTAAAACCATATGCATACAAAGTTCAAGTTCGAAGGGTTATATTTATATGCAATAGCAAGCCCTTCTCAACAAGGCATATTGAACCATTAAACACCATAACACATCTAAGTCCAGTAGCAGTTTTCATTTGTATGCCTAACAAGTGCAGCACAGGGCACATCTATAGATTTTTGGGCTGCCAAACAGAGAAATAAGCAAAAAAAATCATAGTTATGGTTACGCTATCAAAGAAGGCGATAGCAACATTTGTCAAAACTAGAAATTGCCAAAGTAAAATACAATGCATATAAAAATAAATTTGGCGTCAAAACGATGCTTGCCAAGGATCTCCCTTAGTTATTGTTTCTAAGAGGAACATCTTTCCTTCCTTGATTTTCCATGTGTTTAGTCGCAAGACAGCTCAAAAGATCCGCAAATGCCCAAAGAATAGCAAGTGATCCTAAAGGTGTTTGCCCAGGTTGTCAGATGGACACAAAATCACTTTGAATGGAACTTGTTACTAACGGTGTCATATGTTGGGACATAGAGAACTGCCACACAGAGATAAAAGTGAGGAAAACTATATCACGAATTCAAGGGGGAATCCTACACAGAAAAGCTTTTTCATGGAATAGGGAAATTACCATCTCCATAAGATGCCATTGTGAGTGGGGAAGAAATAAGCTTCTGTGCAATGGAAGAAATATCCTTTGACGAAACTTCGTCCACGGCCCTCAAGAAGTAGTCCACAGGTTGCCTAAGAATGAAAAGTGATTAGCATTTATGGTAGTTAAACAGAAAATCATCAACCTCCTAAAAGAGTACAAAGCATGCAAAGTATCTTCACAGGATCTGGAATTGACATCCAACCGGTACCGGAAGCCTCTATGGAACTACATTTCTTTAGTTCCTCGTTAAGTTGATGAATGCAACCTCAGTCACATCAGAATCCACTCCCTGGGGATGGATGTCATGAATGATGCTTCCAATAGTTGCCATCAGAAATGATAACTCAAAAATCCATAAAGCAAAAGTCGTACTTGATTATTGGATCCAGTAAGAAAGATGTTGGACATCTCTCTATAATACATTTCTAGGCTCAAAATGCATGGCTAGGCCCATAACAATTTTTCCTCAGTACAAGCAATCCAGCAAAAATTTAACATTCAAAACCACTACGACTTATGACCGAAAACCATGTATCTACGTTCAGGCGCGACCAGATAACAGATATATGTACAAATGAACAGATACAGTCATCACCATTAGAATACTAAGATATGTATTCAGAAAAACAAATAAACCATTTTTGACAGAGACATACCTCTGTCCGTATGTCAAAATTTGTCTACCTATATCTTCTGATACCACCATCTGCAAGATACACATTACCGGTAACCACAGTGGACCAACTATGCTTGCTTGTGAAGAAATGAAGTCCTAAACATATAGCAAAACTCAAATTTGGGGTAATTGAATGGAAAAGAGTTTGCATACTCTGGATTCAAGGTTCATAAGAATGGCAGACTTTGTTGATTGTTTGGCACGGTCTAGCTGTGCCTGGTCAACTGCAAGATGGTAAAAAGAGAAGAAAATGAAAAGAAGGAAAAAGATTGTAGGAAGAGCAGGAATCAAACAACAGGCTACAAAGATAGAATCAACTGCAAAATAATCGCGCCAACCACTACTGGCCCTTCTGTTCTGATTGGTAAGAAAACACTTTTTTGCAGGAAAAAGGAAGTATAGGTAAGGAAACCCCACATTAAATCGAGAAAGGTGGTGAGACAAGTTAAACATGAGATAGCAAACCTTCTCCAGGGGTTGCAACTGCAATAAGTTCTTTAACTGCTATATCAATTGCTTTCGGTACAAAATCAGAGCCCTGAATTCAAAAGAAGTGAGCCTCACTCAGTTAAAGGAATCCCAATGCGAACTAGCAAATAGATAAGGACCATAAAGTGGAAACATATCTAGCCAAGTAATAGTTAGCATAGAAAAATACTGCTAGTTACTCCGAGAAAGATTAGGAGAAGGGTTAAAAGAAAGAAATTCAACATAATGTAAAAGCTTTACAGGGTATCATGATACTTCCACTCAGATAGCCAATTAAGTATTGACCGTTGATGCTTGTTGCCAACAAGCTAATTTATGTATAAGTAACCAAATAAAAGCATTGTGTGTAGGTAGTGCAGCATGTTTCAGGTAAAAGAAGAGTTCAATTTTTTTAAAAGATTTGAGTGTCTTCATTTGGCATGCATAATTGACACCTCCACAAATGAAGCCTCCTCAAATAAAAAATATCAATAACCAACTCTAAGCACAGGATGTGCATTGCATTTTCTATTAAGTCCTAAAATTATAGTCGTAACATGTGCAATTCGCACACTTGAGCTCAATGTTCTTTGGTTAAAAATAGTGGCATTCCTTCGAATCCTTTAGACGTTGAAACCCAAAGAGAAGCCAAAAAAAGCAATCTTATCCCACAAATCTTCCCATGGGATCACCCTATCTTCAAAAATACTCTCATGTCTTTCCAACCAAACCACCCAAAATTATGCCAACACCATATTTCTCCATAAATTATTTGTTTTATTGCTAATAAGACCAAGACCTTCAACGTCTATAACAAATACCGAGTCACAACACCTTGGATTGTCCAAGATTTCCAACAAGGTTTTTTAACAGGACTATACTGACTACATCACAATGATCTCAAGAGACATAATAAACACTTTCTAAGTCTTTCACTTCAAAAAGGAACCCATTTTATGTAACTTAGTAAAATTGATATGATAAACAATGAAGTGCACTTCATGTCTTTTAACATTCCAACTTGAACTCCATAGGACCAATTTTATGCTAAAACACGAATTGCACTTCGCATGCAGCAACTGCAGCAATAATTCAGTGAAATAAATGTAAGAGGCCTTTTCTTATTGAAGAAATCTGCCTTTGGCTAATTCTTCCCTTTGAGAACAAATGGGTTTGCTTGAATCAGCACCCTACTTGATGTTTCCCTCTGTTTCTCTTTTTTACAAGGAATAAAATCGAAAAGTGTTCAATGAACATAGGAGGGGTATGAACATTGATCATATTTGGTAAGACTTTGTGGAATGTGAAGCACTCAGAGAAAGATGAAAGGATTGATATGTGACATCATATGGAAAGCAAGGAAATGCTCACACACATATGACTCATTCGACCTACCTAAGAGGCAGAGGTTACGAGTCGACATTCAAAATGCAGATCTATTTTAAGGAAATTAATGTCATCAAGAAGAAGATGAGTCGAGGTTGGAGGGGATTGTTTGAGCACCAGTGGATCATGCAAAGGTTAAATTTTTGGGCAGGTTTTCCTCCAAAACAGGAACTCTAAAAGAAGTATAATGAGAGCAATAATTTTGATTACTCCTATAATAGCACTTTTCATGGTAGTGTTACTAGTGTCGTAGCGGCATCTTTTCATTGGTATTATAGCCACTACAATAACTTCATCAATGGGGGCTTTTATGCTCTGCCTCTTGAAGTTTATATATGTTTTGATGTACGGAAGAGATTGAAGTTGGTTAGTGCCTAGGATTTACTCTTATCATAACTGATGACATCATTATGAGAAACTTTTGCTTGCTTATTAAATTTGTCTTTGGCGAATTCGTTCCTGTGAGAACACTAGGGTTTGCTTGAATCAACACATCACTTGAGGTTCCTCTGTTTGCCTCAATCCACTTAGACTTATTGATGTGAATCAGAAGTAGTCCTATTGATGTGAATCAGAAGTACTCCTATTGGCTCCCACCCGCATTACCCTACTTCCTTCCTACCAAACAATCAATCACTCCATTTATTCCATCTGTTTCACCCATCCACCTTCCCCCACCACCTCCCTTTTCCCCCTCTCACCAAACAAATCATAAGCCTAGCCTAGAGTTGGAAGAGATGGCATCATGTTTTAATAACTCATACTATTGCAAACATAAAAATAGATTTCCATTTGGAATTCTTCTGTGCTTAGGCCAAAATGATTAAATTATATCACAAGCTATGATTTTATTTAGTGTCCAACCAGTACAAAGCATGACCATCATGATTCCCTCTTATGAAACAAATAAAGCATTGTCAATATGATAACATATTTGCTTCAATCCTTTATATCAGCATCTGACAGTAACATCTTCTCCATTACTGACCAATTCCTCAAAGTCACTGCAGACATTGTGAACACCTCTAAATTTCAAAACAAATAAGGATATAGCAGGAGCTCTCCACCCATACAAGTCCTGCATAGGTGCAANCCTCAAAGTCACTGCAGACATTGTGAACACCTCTAAATTTCAAAACAAATAAGGATAGCAAATAGGAGGAAAATAGCAGGAGCTCTCCACCCATACAAGTCCTGAATAGGTGCATCAAGAGAACCTTCTCATGGCTCCAAATATTTTTGGTCAACTCTTGATGAAATTCCCTGCCTGAATGACCTTAGGTTAAAAAATCAGTGAATGCAATAAAATTTGTCATTTGGCACCTTTTTTGAGTCCAAATGCTCAGTCAAAATGTAAACTCTTCTTGAACCAATTTACCTTCTCAAACTTCCATTTGTAGTTTCTAAATACCAATGGCCAAAAAGAACATCTAGCAAGCCACCAATAAGCCTAACCTCTCTCTCTCTCTCTCTCAACATAAAAATCTAAAAAAAACGAAAGTATACAACCACCTTGATTCTATGCCTGAAGCCTTTTCAAGATAAAACTGATGCAGGAAGTGACATCATCAATCATATTCCAAGATGATCTCAACTCCTGGCCAGCACTTCTCTTATCAAAGCTCTATCTTTGTTGGATCTCCAACTAAGTCTCGCACATAATTGGAGACACAAACCAAGAAAAGCCATAAGTCCTTCACCAAGAAAGAACAAACCACCTCCACTGAGAAGACAGTCTGTACTTTTTAAAGCAAATCATGATAGTAGAAAAATATATTTAAAAATGTAAACAAAAAGACACAAATATCAAAAGCACTACCACCAATTCTGCAAATAATCCAGAACAAATTCAACCCTTCAAATTAATTCAGTACAGTAAAAAAATACATTACATAATCCGATTAGTTACATTAAAGAACTCCAGAAACATGAAAAAAGGAATAAACAAATAGAAGAAATCCAATGAGCATTGTAAATTATTTTTATATACCAAACGTAAACCATGAGTTGAAATAACTCACCTAAGACAATAGTTCAAAAGAGATGCAGCACTTGTGAAATTACAGGTACCATACGCCAAAGACAAATTTAATGCACGTGCAGAAACATTTTGTTGTGACCATCCAAATAACTGGAGATTCAAAGAGGTGTCTTACAGTGGTAGCTTGAATTCCAAATAGTCCAGTATTATTGTAAATGCTGCTGAATGCAGAAAATGATTGGATTTGTGGATACTCGTTCAAGACACGAAGATCTGTTCATCAAATCAGCACAAATATATGAATGCTAAGCTGAAAAACTATGAGAAAACTATTTGGCCAGCTTTTTGCATGTAGTAACTAAACAAGAATAGAAGGACTGGAAATGGAGATTGACAATTGTGATATCCAATAAGATAACACCTAGTAATAACTTATAGATGCATCTTTACTGCACAAATAGTGCCAAATAATTAGATGTGCAAACTATGATGTGAAAGTCATGTGGATGTGCTTTTATGTATTTACAGGTTTGTTAAAGACACTTGGAATACCAAGCATGTGTATAACTTACATAGTCTTGAGTACATCCCTTTACCAGGACCCCCAGCAGAGAAAGATCCACCTCCTCCCATTAGCATCTACAAAAAAAAAAAATATTTAGCCATAACTTGCACCCAAATTGCATCACAGACAAGAAGGAAAAGAAAGATAGAGAGTCTCAGGAGGCGTAAACATCCTGTCTATACAGTACTAAAGGTATAAATATAGGGGTAATAGGTCTAACCAAATGAATCATTTTAGAAACTCAACAACAAAATACAATACCTGAAGAACAGTTAAAGTCATAGCCTCCTTTTCATTAAGCCAGCCACCAGGAGCTTCGAAGGCAAGAGCAAAATGAGATGTCTAGTCACAAATAAGAATACAAGAGAACTTTGTGAGAAAATTGAAAATGCATAGTAGATAGAAGTACAAAAGAAGAGATACCATATGGAAAAATTAATGACAAATACCCCTTGACCAGCTTGACATCGATAATCACCACCAACGTATACAGACTTTGGCTCCTCAGGGCGAGGCACACTAGGCAGGTCAGATAGAAGTGGTTCAGCAATTTTTACTAGAAACTCGTGTTCGACGCCCGATGCTGCAAGGACCATCCGAGAAGCAGTATAATTTTCCTGAAATATTCAAAAAGATGATTATAAGCACAAAAACGAAAGAGAGATGCAAACCAAAAAAAAATATATCAAATCATCAACTTAGTTTCAGTACACTCACAGCAACAAACTCCTCCAAATTTGTACTATTCAATCTGTTGAGTGCGGATTCTGAGGCCATAAGAGGATTCGCTAATGCACCAGAATAACCAGCGGAATGAATTGCCTCAAGAAGCAAATTTTGAGGGTTGTTAGAGGATTCGCTGATCTCAGCTTTCACCTTCAGGATCTGTAAAGTGTAGGATGTCTTTTCAATACAAACATCTTATATGGCATAAACAATTTGGTAGCGCTGTATCTGATGCCCAATAAGAGGGGGGGAAATTACCTGTTCATTGACCTCCCAATCTAAGAAAATTGGGTTCCTCACAGAGTCAATGAGCAGCTCTACCATTTTAGGCACATAAGTCTTCAAAGCATCATAAGTGTAGCCCATTTGCTCCCTGGAGGCTGCAGCTGTCACATTGCCACCAATTGCCTCCACTTCCCGCACAATGCGCAAGTGGCTCCGATTTTTCGTGCTTTTAAAAGCTAGTCGTTCCAGAAGATGTGTGGCTCCAAATGAATCCGGTGTTTCATAAATTGATCCAGAGTCAACATATAACCCAATTGAGGCCACAGGGTCCTATTCAACAAACCAATCAATGATAACTTGGTTAAGATAATGGAAAATTTTGCTTCAAAAACAGAGTAGTAGTTAAGACACATTTGTACCACCGATGGTTCAGAGGCTATTTTCAAGCCATTTGACAGAGTTGTTATCTTAGTCTTTCCCGGTTCAACATAATCAGGAAGTGGTGGCGAGAGGATAACATCCTTGAGTGGAAAGTTAAGAGGAGGGAGTGACGAAGAATGTTCCCCGGTCAGCCAGCTAAAGTAACTCCCTGAAGAGGTCTTGGTGGCAACAGCACTTGAACTTGCGAACCTAGTCAGCGCCCTACTGCTAGCACGGTCCTGTTCACGCAATGTCGCATATAAACACAACAGATTTCCAAAAAAGAAATGATATGACTGTAGGAATGATCAACTACCAAATTAAAACCTAATTAAATCAATTGCTGAAACAATTTGATCATCCTACCCTCAATAATATAAAGAGCATGGGAGCATGGGCTATCTATCCTTACCCCTTACAATTTTTTTCTTTCTTCATTTAATTTCTCTTTTTCTTTCTTCATTTTTTCCTGGGGGTGCAACTGTCACGTGAAACAGTTCTGGCAGTACATTTCCTAAACAATGCAGCAATTTCCCAGTTTCACGAAAATCCCGAATCCCCAAGTCAGTTCAATGCTATAAATCCCCTTTAACTGTTCAAACCGCAACAGTTATCTTCACTCTTGAATATTTAAAAAATCATTATAAGACACACGTTTCCTCTGCATTGCTTCCAACATTAGTACAGTCGAAAAATAGCCAAACAACCGAATATTTTACCAGAAGAATTGCTATTTTCTTTAATAAAATAAACAATCAGTTATCCCACATTTTCTCAGCAAGCAAACACAGCCTCCAACATTAACACATCAGCCATTGAAACAAAGCACACAGTTCACCCCTGATTTAAAATCAGACCCAGAATAACATATTCAAATTAGCAAGAGCACTCATACGATAATCAAATAACAGTAGTTAGTGAGTACTAATCAGAACCACCAATCACATATACATATAACGAACATAAGACATAAGCAATGAATACATTGAACTAGGGTTCTAAGGTAGCTTGGCATTATTACACACCTTGAGAGCCCTAAGACGTGAAGCTGCGTTTCTGTACATGACGATGATGATCGATCACTGTGGGAAACCCTAGAAAAATAGTTTGTGTTTTCTCTCTCTTCCCTAACTATCCAGAGACTAGGAAGAGACGAGGAACAACAACAGGTGCGATTGTTGGGGTCCACCGAACACGGTCAAAGCTTACACTGATCGGCTTCGATATGTATCAGCAATTTAGTCCGTCGACGTGAGAAGATCTCTGATGTGATGAAATCTGGACCCTTGATCATAAGGATCTTTTCTTGACATTTTAAGGGTTAATTACACTTTCTTCCCTTAAAGTATCACCTGATTATCACTTTGATCTTAAACTTTTTTTCCCGATTTCGCCCTTCAAATTTGGCCATTGCATGACTTATGTGTAATCACTCAATGGTAACTCCTGACAACCCAAAATAAAAACCCATGGTAACTTTCCCACAAAGTATTGCAAACTAATTCACAGTATAGCAACTTCCCACAAGTCTTGCGTGATATGTTTGGGATGATTCAACCAAGTCATTTAAAATTTCATCGTTGAATCGCACTATATACTGTCAATATCATTTTGGTGATGCAAATACATGACTTATATCTCCCGAAATGTCTAACTTTTTTGATTTAGCATTCCGGNTATCATTTTGGTGATGCAAATACATGACTTATATCTCCCGAAATGTCTAACTTTTTTTATTTAGCATTCCGAGTTCAGACTAATACCTTTGAATAACTCAAGTAACACATTCCACACATAAAAGGTACAACAATTTTCATGTACTTTTTTCTGCAAATTCCCAACTCCTCTAAGTTCCTTCCCTAACCAGCTTAGTTTTTGGCATGCCCTTAACCACACATTCACTTGGTTTGATCTAATATGATTTCCTTTTTTTACACTACCAAATTTTAATTTCTAGTCATTTCCAGCATCAAGGATTTTCACCGGCGAGGTGGTCCAAGACAAGAGAAGGGGTCTCCAATGGTCAACATAGCAAAAAATACTCAAAAACCTAGAGCCTGTTTGGTTTGCGTTTCAAAAACTAGTATCTGAAAATAGTTTTTGAGAAACATTTTTAAAAAATAGTTTTGATATTTTTTGAGATAAAAAACTTGTTTAATTAGATGATTTTAAAAATAATTTTAAAATACAGAAAATAATAAAACCTATTTGGACAGCCTAAATATATATTTCAACAGTAATTCAAACANATTTCAAATTTTCGCTTTCTCTTATTTTCTTCAATTTTCTCAGAAACCCAGTGGAGAGTCGGCAAAAAGTAGTAGACGAACGAATTGAATTCAAGCCATGAATAATCAAAAAAATTAAAAAAAAATTAAAAAAATAATAAAAAAAAAAAAAAATATATATATATATATATATATATATATATATATATTATATTATTATAATCTATTATATTATATATTATATATTAATATTAATATATAATAGGGTTAATCTCATTTTGTACCCTAAAAGATTGTTCANGCATGTAGTAACTAAACAAGAATAGAAGGACTGGAAATGGAGATTGACAATTGTGATATCCAATAAGATAACACCTAGTAATAACTTATAGATGCATCTTTACTGCACAAATAGTGCCAAATAATTAGATGTGCAAACTATGATGTGAAAGTCATGTGGATGTGCTTTTATGTATTTACAGGTTTGTTAAAGACACTTGGAATACCAAGCATGTGTATAACTTACATAGTCTTGAGTACATCCCTTTACCAGGACCCCCAGCAGAGAAAGATCCACCTCCTCCCATTAGCATCTACAAAAAAAAAAAATATTTAGCCATAACTTGCACCCAAATTGCATCACAGACAAGAAGGAAAAGAAAGATAGAGAGTCTCAGGAGGCGTAAACATCCTGTCTATACAGTACTAAAGGTATAAATATAGGGGTAATAGGTCTAACCAAATGAATCATTTTAGAAACTCAACAACAAAATACAATACCTGAAGAACAGTTAAAGTCATAGCCTCCTTTTCATTAAGCCAGCCACCAGGAGCTTCGAAGGCAAGAGCAAAATGAGATGTCTAGTCACAAATAAGAATACAAGAGAACTTTGTGAGAAAATTGAAAATGCATAGTAGATAGAAGTACAAAAGAAGAGATACCATATGGAAAAATTAATGACAAATACCCCTTGACCAGCTTGACATCGATAATCACCACCAACGTATACAGACTTTGGCTCCTCAGGGCGAGGCACACTAGGCAGGTCAGATAGAAGTGGTTCAGCAATTTTTACTAGAAACTCGTGTTCGACGCCCGATGCTGCAAGGACCATCCGAGAAGCAGTATAATTTTCCTGAAATATTCAAAAAGATGATTATAAGCACAAAAACGAAAGAGAGATGCAAACCAAAAAAAAATATATCAAATCATCAACTTAGTTTCAGTACACTCACAGCAACAAACTCCTCCAAATTTGTACTATTCAATCTGTTGAGTGCGGATTCTGAGGCCATAAGAGGATTCGCTAATGCACCAGAATAACCAGCGGAATGAATTGCCTCAAGAAGCAAATTTTGAGGGTTGTTAGAGGATTCGCTGATCTCAGCTTTCACCTTCAGGATCTGTAAAGTGTAGGATGTCTTTTCAATACAAACATCTTATATGGCATAAACAATTTGGTAGCGCTGTATCTGATGCCCAATAAGAGGGGGGGAAATTACCTGTTCATTGACCTCCCAATCTAAGAAAATTGGGTTCCTCACAGAGTCAATGAGCAGCTCTACCATTTTAGGCACATAAGTCTTCAAAGCATCATAAGTGTAGCCCATTTGCTCCCTAGAGGCTGCAGCTGTCACATTGCCACCAATTGCCTCCACTTCCCGCACAATGCGCAAGTGGCTCCGATTTTTCGTGCTTTTAAAAGCTAGTCGTTCCAGAAGATGTGTGGCTCCAAATGAATCCGGTGTTTCATAAATTGATCCAGAGTCAACATATAACCCAATTGAGGCCACAGGGTCCTATTCAACAAACCAATCAATGATAACTTGGTTAAGATAATGGAAAATTTTGCTTCAAAAACAGAGTAGTAGTTAAGACACATTTGTACCACCGATGGTTCAGAGGCTATTTTCAAGCCATTTGACAGAGTTGTTATCTTAGTCTTTCCCGGTTCAACATAATCAGGAAGTGGTGGCGAGAGGATAACATCCTTGAGTGGAAAGTTAAGAGGAGGGAGTGACGAAGAATGTTCCCCGGTCAGCCAGCTAAAGTAACTCCCTGAAGAGGTCTTGGTGGCAACAGCACTTGAACTTGCGAACCTAGTCAGCGCCCTACTGCTAGCACGGTCCTGTTCACACAATGTCGCATATAAACACAACAGATTTCCAAAAAAGAAATGATATGACTANCAGCACTTGAACTTGCGAACCTAGTCAGCGCCCTACTGCTAGCACGGTCCTGTTCACGCAATGTCGCATATAAACACAACAGATTTCCAAAAAAGAAATGATATGACTGTAGGAATGATCAACTACCAAATTAAAACCTAATTAAATCAATTGCTGAAACAATTTGATCATCCTACCCTCAATAATATAAAGAGCATGGGAGCATGGGCTATCTATCCTTACCCCTTACAATTTTTTTCTTTCTTCATTTAATTTCTCTTTTTCTTTCTTCATTTTTTCCTGGGGGTGCAACTGTCACGTGAAACAGTTCTGGCAGTACATTTCCTAAACAATGCAGCAATTTCCCAGTTTCACGAAAATCCCGAATCCCCAAGTCAGTTCAATGCTATAAATCCCCTTTAACTGTTCAAACCGCAACAGTTATCTTCACTCTTGAATATTTAAAAAATCATTATAAGACACACGTTTCCTCTGCATTGCTTCCAACATTAGTACAGTCGAAAAATAGCCAAACAACCGAATATTTTACCAGAAGAATTGCTATTTTCTTTAATAAAATAAACAATCAGTTATCCCACATTTTCTCAGCAAGCAAACACAGCCTCCAACATTAACACATCAGCCATTGAAACAAGGCACACAGTTCACCCCTGATTTAAAATCAGACCCAGAATAACATATTCAAATTAGCAAGAGCACTCATACGATAATCAAATAACAGTAGTTAGTGAGTACTAATCAGAACCACCAATCACATATACATGTAACGAACATAAGACATAAGCAATGAATACATTGAACTAGGGTTCTAAGGTAGCTTGGCATTATTACACACCTTGAGAGCCCTAAGACGTGAAGCTGCGTTTCTGTACATGACGATGATGATCGATCACTGTGGGAAACCCTAGAAAAATAGTTTGTGTTTTCTCTCTCTTCCCTAACTATCCAGAGACTAGGAAGAGACGAGGAACAACAACAGGTGCGATTGTTGGGGTCCACCGAACACGGTCAAAGCTTACACTGATCGGCTTCGATATGTATCAGCAATTTAGTCCGTCGACGTGAGAAGATCTCTGATGTGATGAAATCTGGACCCTTGATCATAAGGATCTTTTCTTGACATTTTAAGGGTTAATTACACTTTCTTCCCTTAAAGTATCACCTGATTATCACTTTGATCTTAAACTTTTTTTCCCGATTTCGCCCTTCAAATTTGGCCATTGCATGACTTATGTGTAATCACTCAATGGTAACTCCTGACAACCCAAAATAAAAACCCATGGTAACTTTCCCACAAAGTATTGCAAACTAATTCACAGTATAGCAACTTCCCACAAGTCTTGCGTGATATGTTTGGGATGATTCAACCAAGTCATTTAAAATTTCATCGTTGAATCGCACTATATACTGTCAATATCATTTTGGTGATGCAAATACATGACTTATATCTCCCGAAATGTCTAACTTTTTTGATTTAGCATTCCGGGTTCAGACTAATACCTTTGAATAACTCAAGTAACACATTCCACACATAAAAGGTACAACAATTTTCATGTACTTTTTTCTGCAAATTCCCAACTCCTCTAAGTTCCTTCCCTAACCAGCTTAGTTTTTGGCATGCCCTTAACCACACATTCACTTGGTTTGATCTAATATGATTTCCTTTTTTTACACTACCAAATTTTAATTTCTGGTCATTTCCAGCATCAAGGATTTTCACCGGCGAGGTGGTCCAAGACAAGAGAAGGGGTCTCCAATGGTCAACATAGCAAAAAATACTCAAAAACCTAGAGCCTGTTTGGTTTGCGTTTCAAAAACTAGTATCTGAAAATAGTTTTTGAGAAACATTTTTAAAAAATAGTTTTGATATTTTTTGAGATAAAAAACTTGTTTAATTAGATGATTTTAAAAATAATTTTAAAATACAGAAAATAATAAAACCTATTTGGACAGCCTAAATATATATTTCAACAGTAATTCAAACATTAATAAAAAAAAAAAAAAATATATATATATATATATATATATATATATATATATTATATTATTATAATCTATTATATTATATATTATATATTAATATTAATATATAATAGGGTTAATCTCATTTTGTACCCTAAAAGATTGTTCAAATCTCAATTTACACCCTCAAAGATTAAAAATCTCAATTTGCACCCTCAAAGATATAAATTTGTATCAATGTGCATCCCTAAAAATAAAAAATCTCAATTTGCACCCTCAAAGATAGAAATTTGTATCAATGTGCACCTAAAATTAAATTGATAAATTATATCTAGATCCCCTCATGTTTGTCACTTAATCATTTGAACTGCTTCACATTTAGAATATTCCCCTTACATCTCATGGCGTTTGTGCATGTGTAACACATAACCACTTTTCGTTGATATCTGTTAATATAATCGTTAAAAATTATGATTTTATTCTAATAAAAAATTATAATTTCATATTACATTTTATTTTGTGGATTCGATATACTCTAAAGTTGCAAATCAAGCTTACCATTTGAATGTTTAATAAAATGTAGATATTTATATAAAAGGTAATATGAAAAACATTATATAAATATTTACATTTTATTAGACATTCAAATGGTAAACTAGATTTTGAACTTTAGAATATATTGAATCCATAAAATAAATGGTAATATGAAATTATAATTTTTTATTAGGATAAAATTATATTTTTTAACGGTTATATTAATAGATATCAATGAAAATAGATTACGTGTTATACGTGCACAAATGTCATAAGATATATGAATAATATTCTAAATGTAAAGATGTCTAAATGATTAAGTGACAAGTATGAGGGGATCTAAGTATAATTTATCAATTTAGTTTTAGGTGTACATTGATACAATTTTCTATTTTTGAGGGTGTAAATTGAGATTTTTTATCTTTGGGGTGCACATTGATATAAATTTTTATCTTTGAGGATGCAAATTGAGATTTTTGATCTTTGGGAGTGCATATTGATACAAATTTCTATCTTTGAGGGTATAAATTGAGATTTTTGATCTTTGAGGGTGCAAATTGAGATTCGAACAATTTTTCAAGGTGCAAAATGAGATTAACCCTATATAATATAATATTATATATTATAATAATATATAATAAAATATTTTGTATATTACAATATCTATTATATAATATATTATATATTATGAGAGAGAGGAAGAAGTAAAAAAAATTGAAGAAATTTGCTGCTAAGGAGACTCGAAGGGCAGACTTCATTAAAATTCAAAATTGTTCTCCTTATTTTCAATATTTTCAAAAAATACTCTGAAAACAAGCTAGACTTGTTTTTTGTTTCTTTGACTAAAATCTCATTTTTTCTTAAAATTTTGAGAACAAAAATGCTAAACAAACAGGTTTTAGATGTTTTTAAAATTTGAGAACAAAAAACAGTTTCCGAAAAGCTAACCAAACTTCGCCCTATTTTCTTGCAAATTTTCCTCCCCGACCTTGTGTTTTGATAAATGTCCTATGAGACAATAGTCACATATTCTAATTTTCATGGTCCACTCTGAATTCTCGTGGATCAGCTCTTGGGTTCCTTGGTTCATCTTAATGCCATTTCAGCCACTCAAATTCACAGTGTGAGTAGAGATGTTGGAGTTCATTTATTTCGGCCATAATTGTGCAAAAAAAGAATGGCATGTTGATTTTTGTTCAAAGGATTCTGCTTGAGTAAGAATCTCATTCTGCAAAAATTGAGGATTCTTCGAGATAGGGCAAGTAAACGAGAATAGGAAAATGCTAGTATGTGGGATGACAAATATTGTCAAATTTAAATCACTGCTCTAAAAACTTAAACTATTAGAAAAGGTGTAGCATATATGCATCACGAGTAGTCTACCTATCTATATACTTGCAGAAAATTGTTCTGTGAGGGTCTGGAAACGTCAAGGTGAAGACAGAGAGAACAATAGAAGGTGGATGGAATGATTATGTAAGGAAAGAATAGGAATAGTTCCATATATAAAGCAAATGGTTGGGAAGCTAGAAGCATATGACTTGAATATCACTAGAGGGATCATAAAGAGATAGCAGGATAAGAAAATGATCAAATACACGATAACAAATATATGTTTTCGAACGGATTAGCCTTGTGAGACCCCCTATCTCACCTGTCATATATATATACTAATTATTACATGTGTCTGAAGGCACAGAGTAATAAAAAATAGTAAACAATAAACATATTTATATTTATATCCAAAATTAAATCACAAACATAGAGAAGAGATAATAGAATTTAAGCATCGGTTTATAGTAGGGGGTGAGAGGTGATAGTGGTAGGAGACGATGATGGTTGTGGTGGGTGGCAATAACCGTGATGGTGGCGAGGCAACGACAATGGTGGGGGCAATGACGATGGTGGTGGGGTGGTGACGACAGCCGTGGTGATGGTGGTAGTGGCGATGGTGGATGGTCGTGGTGGAGGCGGTGGCGATTGTGGGTGGTCGTGGTGGAGGCAGTGGTGGGCGTGGCAATGGTGGAGATGGTGGTGGGGGGCATGGCAGTGGTGGAGGCAGTGGTGGTGGTGGCGGCAAAGGCCGGGAGGGCGGTGGCAATGGTTGTGGTGGTAGGGGCGATGACGATGGTTGTGGGATGGCGACGACGATCGTGGTGGCGATGGTAGTGGCGGAGGAGGCAGTGATGGTGGCGGCGGCAATGATGGTGACGATGGTGGCAGTGGTGGGTGGTGGCAATGGTGGGTGTGGCAATGATGGTGATGGTGATGGTGATGGTGGCGGCGGCAGCGACAATAGTGGTGGAGGTGGGGGTGGCTACAATGGGGGTGGGGGGCGATGGTGGTTTGTGGCAGTGGCGGTAGTGGTGGCGGTGGTGGCGGAGATGATGACAGTGACGGTGACGGCGACGGTGATAGTGGTGGAGGTGGTGGTAACAGCAGCGGCTACAACAGTGGCGATGGTGATGGTAGTAGTGGTGGTGGTGGTGGTGGTAAAGGTAGTAGTGAAGCGGTTTCAAATACTATTTTTTTTAAAGTAGACAATGAGTATTATTGGACCAAAGGTTCATTGGTATGTTATTTTACTATCAACTACTGCTTTGATAATCTAATCTGAGTATAATTTAGGACTTTAAGAGAATGTGATGAGTCTTATTCACTGTTTAGATTCAAATTTTTATTTATTTACTTCTCAATTTTGATTTTCCATGGTCTTGATGCCTAAGATTAATTTTTGCAACTATACGCAAATTCTACCTGTTAATTATATTTTTATTCACTTCTATTAAGGTTTAATCCATTTTTTGGTCTTCAATTGTCAAATATTTTATTGTGAGATTGTAATTTTTTTTCAATCCAAAGGCAATTTGAGGTGAGAAACTCTATATTGTTGATGAGAATTTTAGTAATGTTTCGTTTGGTACGATAGAAAAATAAAAGAATGAAAAGTTGGAAGGATAAAAAATTAGAAAGATAGATAAAACATCATGTTTGGTAATGAATGAAAATAAAAATGATGAAAAAGTTGATGGATTAACTTTTCTTCCAACTCATCAAAATCAATCCCTTNTGTAGGAATGATCAACTACCAAATTAAAACCTAATTAAATCAATTGCTGAAACAATTTGATCATCCTACCCTCAATAATATAAAGAGCATGGGAGCATGGGCTATCTATCCTTACCCCTTACAATTTTTTTCTTTCTTCATTTAATTTCTCTTTTTCTTTCTTCATTTTTTCCTGGGGGTGCAACTGTCACGTGAAACAGTTCTGGCAGTACATTTCCTAAACAATGCAGCAATTTCCCAGTTTCACGAAAATCCCGAATCCCCAAGTCAGTTCAATGCTATAAATCCCCTTTAACTGTTCAAACCAC